GGCTGTTTGCAGCTCGTCACACCCCCTTCAGGGTGGGGGTCCCCACTGAGGTGCCTGGCCAGCCTGGATGAGGGGCCATTTTCAGGCTGGCCACACCCCCTTTAGGGTGGGGGTCCCCACTGGGTGCTTGGCCAGCCTGGGTGAGGGGCTGATGGCTGTTTTCAGGCTGGCCACACCCCCTTTAGGGTGGAGGTCCCCACTGGGGTGCCTGGCCAGTCTGGGTGAGGGGCTGAGGGCCGTTTTCAGGCTGGCCGGCGACTGAAGCTCACCGCCTCTCCTATTTTTCTTTTTTTTTTTTTATTCTGGGATTTATTTACCTTTTATAATTGAAACTTTGTTAAGTAATTTATCTGAGGTTACCCAGTTAAAAAGGAGTGAAACATAACCTTTAATCAACACCTTCTTTTACTGCTTACAGATTAAATCCAAACATGTTAGCAAGGCATTTAAAAAGCTTTTGCAGTGGCCCAAACTGCCCCTCTATCTCCATTTCCCTCCCTATACTTCAGCCCATCTGTTGCTGCCTCATCAGCACGTCCAGCAATGGCAAACCTTTATACCCTATTTCATGCTGTCTCCCCATCCGTGCCTCATAAATCCTACTCAACCTTCAAAGCTCAGTTGAAATGCTATGGTCTCCCCCACAAAGCTTTGATTCTCTGATTCCCCCCCACCTATCTGACCTGACACCTCTGCAGAGATTTATTTCATTTGTCTTTTATTGCCATATATAAATGCCCCGGGTTACACTTCTTCAAGGACAGGGCCTAAAATATTTATCTTACGTCACTTACTTAACCTAGAACAATGCACTTAACAGCTTCAAAAGTATTTGTTAGTCATGCATGTTCATTGTTTGCAGTGATAGAAAGTGTATATATATTTTTAATTTGTTTTATTGTTGAAAGTATTACAGATGTCCCCCTTTCCCTCCATTGACGCCTTCTAGCTCACATCTGCCCACCTCCCCCCACTCCCCGCCCCAGGCCTTCACTACACTATTGTCTGTGTCCTTGGGTTATGCATATATGCATATAAATTCTTTGATTAATTTCTTCCCACCTGCCCACCCCCACCCTCCCTCTGAGATTAGACAGTCTGTTCCATGTTTCCATGTCTCTGGATCTATTCTGTTCATCAGTTTATTTTGTTCTTTAGATTCCACATATGAGTAGGATCATGTGATACTTATCTTTCTTTGACTGGCTTATTTCGCTTAGCATGACTGTTTTACATAGTGAACATGCAATAAATACTTCTTAAATTTAAAAAAAGTATTGTTTGAAAAGCGAAAAAAAGAAATGCTCACTTTCCTAGCCAAGTACCATAAAAGTCCTTACATCCTTTAAATGTGTAATTCTACTTCTGAGAATTCATCTTAAGCAACTAATTCAACAGAAACAAATAAAAGCAACATGTCAGTAGAGCATGATTTTACATAATTCTATACACTCTTATGTAATCAGGAACAAGTGTATTTATGAAAATTATATAGAAATATGTGACAGAATAGTAAGTGAGAACAGATACTATAACTACAATACTCTGTAATATGTATTCATTCACAATAAATATTTATTGAGTATTTCAAGGAGCTTACACTCTAATAGGGGATGACTGACAATAAGCAATAAATTAAAATAGATTATACAGTTATATAGCAATAAGTGGGGTGGAGAAAAGCAGGCAAGGGCAATAAGGAGTGTTTGGGTGGGGTTGCTATTTGAATGAAGATAGCTAGGGAAGGCCTCCCTGAGAATAGAGGTTTGAAAAAAACCTGAAGGAGGTTAGATACTCATGAAAAATAAGGACACATGAAAGGTCGTGCTAAGCTTATAGAATTAGGCAAGTTCTGTTATACATTTGTGTAAAATGTTTGCTTCTTAATTATAATTTTATTGTTTTCAAAACTATTACAAAAAAACACACCAAAGTTCTGCTAAGAGAAAAACAAAATAAGCAAGTTCAATGAACAAACGAAAAGACCCTCAACTAACCCTCTGCTATCCACCCCATTAAATGTAAACCTTGGTGTCCCACTTCTAAAACAACTTCTCCAACCTTACCTGTCACTATTCCCCAACCTTCCACTTAAATCAAGATAATATGCCAAGCTTTCTGACATCCCATGCCTATTTCCAGAATTTATCTCACTTGAAATATCTACCTTCTACATATGCAAATCCTATTCCTTCTTCAAATCTCAGTATCACTAGAAAAACTCCAAAGAGTTAGTTATGTAGATTATTCCGTTTCAATTATCCTTACCTTTAAACAGAGATGAAAATAACAAGAGACCTTCTCACTACAGGCAGGGAGACAGACAAGCTGCAGACAAGCAGTAATTTGCTGGGGCAGGTAGGAAGGAGAGGAATGAAGTGTGAGAACACAAAGGAGAGAGCGTTTAATTCTGCTCCAGGTCAAGTAAGAGACCTAGAAAACTTCAACGAGAGTGACCTGGTTAGAAGTCATGGGAGGCACATGGAGGATATTAGACGAAGAGAAAACAGCCTGAGCAAAGATGGAGAGAGCCATGAAAATTAAAATGCATAGTGCTTTGAGGGCATCGTGCATTAGAGGGAATTTCAAATGCAATAAAACTGAAACGGGAAATCCAGAAGCATAGTGCAAAGGGCCTTGAATGGCACACCGCCTAAATCCCTTCGATTATGGTAAAGGTAATGGCAAGTCACGTAAGGCATTAAACTGGAGTTACTGACTTTTGTTTTTTAGAAGGTAACGTGGCCTGAAAGGCTGGACTGGAAAGAGAAGGGACAGCAGACCAGTTAATACATGGCAGGTGTTCCATAAATGTCTATTAACTAGATGAGACTATCACACCGAGAAGAGAGAATTCTTTCAGTCTCCACATTTACAGGCAGCAGCATGCAGTGGGTGCTCAATTGTCCTCCAGTTGCTTTGAATATATTAGTTTCCCACTTTCGAGATCATAAAATTTAGTAAAGCAGAAAGGTGAAGAAGAAACACGGCTCCAGGGTCAGACTTGGCTGAAGTCCAAGTCTGATAATTGCTAGGTTGTGGGATTGTGAGCAAGCTACTTAATTTCTTTGTGCCCCAGTCTCCTAATCTATTAAATATAATATTATATACCCCTCACAGGATTGTAGAGGATTAAAAATGAGATGGTACCAACACAGTGCCTCGCACATAGTAAATCCTCAATAAATACTATATTTCTTATGAACTGTATTTGGTGTTCGGGATTACACTAGCACACTAAGCACAGAATAAGGTACTCAGTACTGTGTCCAACCATTTATTCAATCTTTGACAATCACATTTTTCTATAAACTTTCTATAAAAGCTTTAAACTTTCCCCCACATTGACATAGGTTAATTACATTCAGGCCACATGGAAAATAACTTCTTTTTAAAAGCAAGGCAACTGAGAAAGGGAAGAGCGTGCTCCTAACAGCTTTTGAAAAGCAAGTCTACACAGAAGTCACTTTGACAGGTGTCTGAAGAGCGATGGTCACTGTGTAACCTTAACAAACCCAAAGGCAGAAACCAAGTACAGGGTATCAATAACGGAGCACGGGGCCAGAAAGATGCTGGACACGAGTGACACGCTCCAGTAAGGCAGGGTGGTTTTTTGTTTTAAATCGTACCAAGTGAGCTCTAGTCTAGAGAGTACTATTGCTTAAAAAAAAAAAAAATCGTGGTGACATTAACGGTTCAGAACACTCTACCCAGCGATCTGCAACACAAGGAAAAGCACGCTAGGGGCCGGCGGTCGGGAAAGCTGGTTTGGGCCACCGGGAGGGACAGCTCAGGGCTCCGGGGTGACGTGACCCAGGCGTTTCTTCAACGGCGGTAGCAGCGGCGGCTCCGGGGCGGTCGGGCCTCCTCCGCGGGTCGGCCCCGCATTCCTGCCGGGGACTATACTTAGCCTCCCGGCCCGCGCTCGCGCCCGCCCTCACGTCGTGCACCGTATTAAGCAAATGCTCCGGGTGCGCACGGCGATCCCCCCCCCCAGC